TATATAGTCTTTGTGTTTATGGTGTATAATGATGTGATTGTGATGCTGTATTTCTGAGTGTTTTATGTGCTGCAGAACAGGAACCTGCAATTATGAAAAACAGCAATTATGCTGAGTCAGGCTTGATTTTTTTGTGATCTTTTCCTGTTAAATCAATAAATCAAATCAAATCAAATCAAATCAATATGAAATACAAATACTTCTTAAAAGTACAGTCCTTTTATTTTAATGATTATTTCTTGCTGGAGTGTGACATGATTTATTTGTGTACAAACTAATACAGTATCAGATTTTTATATATTTATACTTCTCATTCAACCACAATTAAATTCACTTTATCTCGGAGGCACAGTTTATATGGATAGTTTTTATATTTTACAGTAACAAGCTGGAATAAAAACAAGCAAAAATGAAATGAAAGTAACAACTTTCTACTTCTTGCATTTTTTAAAAATGTAAGGAGTAGAAAGTACAGATAATTGTGTGAAAATGTAAGAAGTAGAAGTAAAAACTAGGCTGAAAAATAATTACTCAAGTAAAGTACAGATACCCAAAAATTCTACTGAAGTACAGTAAAGAAGTATTTGTACTTAGTTACTTTACAACTGTGCAACTTTTGAAACATTTTTATGTCTAAATTGCTGATAAAAGTTATATATTTCATCAGTTTGTTAGAATTACATCATGTACATGTTGAAAATAAGCTTCCTTTTGATTTTTTCAATTCCATTTTCAACATAGACGTCTAAACGTTCAGAAGTTGGCATAAGTTGTCCAGTGTGACAGGAACTTAAGGCAGCTGTGTTGTTGAAAAGTTTGTTGGGTGAATCAAAGCTGTAATTAGTAAGTAGCCAGAAATGCTAAAGTCTTAATTGACTTCTTCATTGAGCTTGTTAAGCATTTATGTWGGTTAGATCTTGTAGTTTCTTCAGTTGATTATGCAGAGACAGTGAAGACATGCAGTAACATGAGCACAAATATATAGACATTATCCCTCACTGGTTATATTTTCTCTGCTTGGCTCAAAGCTTCCAGTGTTTCTCCTGGATCTCCTTCATCCACTAAAACCAACCTTCAGACACATGAAGTAACTTTGCCTGAACACAGCTTTCCATCCAGCACAGAAGCTCCAGCAGTAAGGTTCACACTGCCCCCATCAGGGAGGAAGAAAAGCCAGCAGGAAGCAGATTTTCTCACAGGTATACATTGTAAAAATGTCATTCAGGTTTACAAAATAAAAGCAAAACTTAAAATGACACAGATAAGAAAAAAAATCACTTGACTCTCTCAGACTAAACTGTATAATAACCATCAGCTTCTGGTGTTTGCAGATACCATAGTGGTCATTATTGTCTCTGGAAGTCTGGCTTGTTTGGTGTGTGCCATCATTCCTATCATGTTCTACAGACACTGGCAGAAGAACGCAGGTGAGCACCGAGGCACTGCGCAGCCTGAACTCCAAAATAAAACTACTTTTATATCTCAGTCCAATCTTTGTTTCAGGTCAGAGTAGACCAGCAGCAAACAAAACTGAGGTAATTTTTAACAATTCTTTATTCAAATACTTATTGTTATTATTATTATTATTATTATTATTATTATTATTATTATTATTAATGTTGTTGTTGTTGTTCAAATTTAGAATAACATGAAACGTTTCACAGGATGATCGCCATGAGGAGAGTGTAGCTGATGCTTCCACACAGGTTGCAGGGAGTCTTCAGTCGGAGGACTGCACTGTTCAGTATGCTTCTGTCTATGAAGGACTGGATCCCAAAACCATCGACTGAGCAAAAATTGCTTTGTTTTTGCAGCTATTTTCACTTTATTATCCCTACTTTCAGTCAAACAACAAAAAATATCCATTTGAATACTGTTTYTGTGTGACGACCTTTGACCTTTGTACAATATTTACTCAGCAGRAAGGAAGTTGAAATGTAAAAATCAGGCCATCCTAGTCACTGTAGTATTTAAGTTTTACTTTTGTAGTGTTGCCTAAAGACCTGCAGGGGACAGTACACACAAATAAACAGACCCAACATGTCTATTTTCTCTTGATACAAATATGTTCTGTTATAATAATCAGTTAACCTTTACTGTAGGTTTTACAACATGGTGCCAAGAGACTTTCTGTAGAACCTGAGCTGGTTAACCTATGGACCAAATTTCGTACAMATACTGTATGTTAAAGTACTCAGAGTGTCTGCAATCAAGATGGGCCTAGAGAGCTAATTTGCAACACCTAMATCTGGATTTTTGTACCTCCCCATCATTCCACATTATTACAAATAACTTCATTTCTGGTCATTTAAGGTTGATTTCTTTGTATGTATGGATCACTTGGGTTGTTACCGACATCTGGTGAAAATTTCATGTCATTAGCACCTCTAGTAATATATTTACTGAGAAAAATGTTGACGTGTTCAATACTTATTTTACCCGCTGTATGTTATGCAGCTCACTGTACTATGACAAAAGGCAGATTTTTTTTAACTATCACACAAATCAAACTGTCTGAAACAATAATGTACCAAAAGAACTYTCTTTGCTCTGCTAATCCATAATGTTTTTATCTGTGTGTGTCTGTTAGCAAAATACAWCATAAACTCATAAACAGATTTCAGTGAAATTTCCACAAATCATTCGTTTGATGTACATCTACAACTGTTTGCATTTTAGAGTCAAGGTGATTCAAAATGGCCTCCACAGCCAAATGTTATTAACAAACACAAAAATGGCTTCAATTCAGTCACTTTCTAAGATATTAAAACCTTTTTTGGGCCTGGTACAGGGCCGACAAGAGAACTGAAGGAATTATTCTAAAATCTTGTGGGCTTAAAGGGTTAAGATAAAGTTTTGTKTGGTGGAAGCTGAGTCATCCTCAAAACATATCAGTTTTTCATATTTCAGTTTTTCTAAAAAAGTAAAACTGAAATATCCACCAGTGCATTGGGCAGAGGTCATACAGTATGTAAGTATAGTGAAACCGATTTTATGTTAAAATGACTTGCCTTAGTAAACAGGGGTGGCGCACCAGCTGTCATCATGTCAGTCACACATAACGTAAGTCATACAGTAATGAGTTGTACCAACAGTATTTTTCTTAAGGAAACTGACAAAGAAGAAATAATGAATATTGTAACAAATCTTGCAAACAAAAGTTCAAAAGACTGGCTGGAAATGGATGTGAAGTTTATAAAGGAAATAATGGGTTATGTTATTGAACCGTTTACATATATCTGTAATCTATCATTGTCAGCTGGAATATTTCCCAACAACATGAAAAGAGCCAAAGTAATCCCTCTCTACAAGAGTTGTGAGAAACATACGTTTACAAACTATAGACCAACATTATTACCACAGTTTTCAAAAATTTTGAAAAAGTTGTTTGTCACCAGCTTAGATCAGTTCATCAATAAACATTATATTTTATGTAAAAATCAATATTGTTTTAGAGCTAATAACTCATCAATAAACATTATATTTTATGTAAAAATCAATATTGTTTTAGAGCTAATAACTCAACATCAATGGCTCTCATGGACATAATTGAACACATAACAATAGCTGTTGATCAAAAACAGTATTGTGTCAATGTTTTTGTTGACTTAAAAAAAAGCATTTGATACCACTGACCACAGTATTCTTCTGGATAAACTAAACAAATATGGTATAAGAGGTCCAGTACTACAGTGGGGAGAAAGTTATTTAACTAATAAGAAACAGTTGGTACAAATTAATGATGTAAGGTCTGAACTTTGTAATATTGTATGTGGGGATCCACAAGGTTCTGTACTGGGACAAAAGTTGTTTCTTTTATATATTAATGACATGGTAAATGTAACGGGGTTGTTTAGATGTGTTTTATTTGCAGACGACACTACAGTTGCGCGATTTGAACGCATTTTATTTATTTATTTATTTTTAGTTCATTACACACCCGCCACGGTGGCGGGTGCGTTGTTCAAATATACACGCCACTTCATAATTTTACCCGCATTTGGCCAGTGGCGGGTGCTAATTTCCACCCGTTTATAGTATTACAACTAAAGCCGTTTTTGATGCCGCCACTGCAGTTTGTCCTTCATGAGCCTTTGTAGACAAGATGGCGGTGCAAGATGGCGGCTGCCTGCAGTGGCGACCCGCGACCATGGAGATATAAACAGCTTTTTATAAGGTAAAAATAATAAAACAAGGTCTTTGTCTGCAATGAATAGACTTGTTTTTTATTATTGTCATTAGTGATTATCTCAACTTTGGCTAAAAGAATTGACAAAATCCTACACACTGTTCCTTTAAAACACCAACTACTGTTGGTGTTATAGTGGTGTTCAACCAAAGGAACGGTTTCATATTTATATGTAAAAAAAAATCCTCTACAGTGTCAAATAGTGTGAGGAGTTTGATTTTATTAAACAATTTAAAAACTCATCAACAAATAAAACAACACAATTCACATTCAGAAGACTTCCGACTGGGCGCAATGAAGGAACTGAGAACAAGGAGAAGTTTCTGAGCCGGCTGTGTCCTATGAAGTGAAAGAATCTCACTGATTATCATTTAAAATTTTATTTGGTTAACTTGTTCTCAAGTCCCTGTATCTCCTGCATATCACTTCATGTACATTTAAATCTTTATTATCATGAAACAGTTGCGCAAATACATTTTTCTGTCCTAAATAAACTGTCATCTACACATGAAAACATGCTTTTGCAATCAAAACAAAAACAAGTAAAATACCATGAGAACAAAAGCCTAAATAAAAGCAACCCCAAAAATAAGGAAGCAGAACACAACGCGTAACCAAGACATTTATCAGTGAAAAAGTGGAACTGAATCTAGTTTGTTTGCGGTTCTGGATTCACACACTGAACAAAAACTGCTTTAGGAAACAAGGCAAGTAGAGACAAGTAGGAGAAATGATCAGTTCTTGTTGTTCGGAGCAAAGATCCTGCCCATAAAATGTCTTCAACTGTTTCTATCTCAGAAGTATCAGGGTTTTAACAGATATTCTAATTTGTTTCAGTGGGGTTGTGTAGTCTTCAGTGGAAGAAATGGCTAAATGACATGGGACACAGTAATAATAACCATCTGCAAAGCAGTTATGACCAGGGTCCAAGCCTGTTTATGCATGCCAACACTGGCTCCTGTCATTTCTAGCATCCTTTCGACCTTATGCACCACATGATTGTTGCATGATGGGGAGTTTTTGCATGGTCTGCTTGAGGGCCAATTTGATACAGCATCTGTTGAGCTCCTTCTCCATGGGTGTGCCCAATGTGTCTCCATTTTTGGTTGCAATGCACTTTTGGATCTACCTCAATGGTGGTTCCAGGCAGGTAAAGCTGAATATTGACTTGCAGTGGAGAAGGGGCTTTTGTGAACGTGGGTCCCATGTCAGGCAGTGGTTCCCCACCCTGGTCCTCAAGTACCCCTATCCAGCATGTTTTACTTGTGTCCCTGCTTTTCAGCAGGTCTTCAGAAGATTGTTAATCACTCTTCATTCAAACCAGGTGTGACAAATCAGGGAAACATCTAAACATGAAGGAAAGGAGTCCTTGTGGACCAGGGTTGAGAATCACAGATTTAATGCATGTTATTTGATTTATTATTTACAAATAAATGGCAGAGACTCAATTGCTTCCAGAGGCAATACTAAAAATCATAAAACTAAGTCAATATTATATTTTATTCAAGCTCAGAGAGGCTCTTAAGGTGTTTGCAACATACAAAGCAGTGATTTTTAGCTTACGAAGCTAGAGAAACATATAAGACATTGATTATAGCACTCCCTATAGGTTGGCATGTCTGATTTTTTTTTCTTCTTCCTACTTGTATGTTTTTAAACTATCAAATTTAAATATTTTCTGTAGTCCCTGCAGTTTGGGCTGCAGTATGAGTTTTTTCCATTAGAAGGAAAATAATAAAAATGAATTAAATGTATATTAAATGTAGGGATATTACCTACATCTTCTCATAACCAAAGTTATGAGGAAAATCACGAGTTCTTCTGTTTAAGAAAATAAACACTTCTCTGTGTAAAATTGAGAATACGACACAATAAGTGAACGTACTCAGGAATTTAAGTTGATCTAAAATAAATGATTTTTATTTACAGAATCAAATAAATTACTTATGTACAGCCTATTGTCAACAATCAAAATTTTTGTGAGTTCAAACATCAACAAAAATGCGCACGCGTCTGCACTAATCAATGTTGACATGACAACTCTAACAGAAACAGCAGAACTTCAGGTTTAAGATCTTAATAAACCAGATGTTTGCAGGTACATGAGACTTATATGGCAAGGTTTAAGTTTATGAAAAATAAAGAAAGGAGGATGTTAGTCCTAATGTTTTAGCTTTTCTATCTGTGAGGAAACCAGAGCAAACACAAACACTCTCTGCCGACGTGTCAGCTCGAACTCCGGTACACTTGTCAAAACATTCAGATTTACCTGGAGGTGCCATGACCRTCAGGTTAAGCATGTGGGAAGAATTCACCCATACTGGTAAGGAACTCTGTTCAGGTCCCTTACTTCCAGTAAAACTTCCTAAGTTTTGCTTTACAGCAACTCCGGAAATCTGCTTCTGTCTGAAGGAGGGAGCCAGATCCATTTGTCTTTCTCTTTAAAATAAAATACTTCTCATCAGAAGTTTTAAAATAATGGAGCTTCAAAGCTGGTTGTTTGGATCACGACTGAAGGTGTTGTGAGCCGATAGGCAAAGATTTGCTCGTTAGCAAAAGAGTCAAATCTGATAGCTAAATGATGATTTTTTTTGACAGTGAAAAGTCAAAAAAGAAGAACTTCACGAGTTCAGAGACTGAAGTTCTGCTCTCAGAGATCCAGAAAAGAAAATCTGTCATTTTTAGCAGCGTCAGCTGTGGAATTAAAGGAGCTGCTAACGCTGAGGAATGACATGATGACTGCTGTTAATGTCGTGTCTCCTGTGGGTTGTATACAGTCACAGAAATAAAAATATAAATCATATTCATCTCTAGTCCTGCTCTGTTTTTCCTTTGGTCGAATAGTTTTAATTCAAGTGTAAACAACTGTGTTGAATAATTTTCATTTAGAAGAGCCACAGACCNAAAAGCATTTTAAAATGTCTCCAAAATATGTCTGTCACTTTGGAGAAAATAGCATAGCTGATGTGCTGAATAAATCTCAACAAAATAAAATTTGATTAAATAAATAACAATCCATAAAGCTCATTATATACCAAGATAAATTAAACTTCAATTAATGCATAATTAGGTTGGTTTATATCGTTAGTCTACATTATTACATTT